TAATTGCTTGAATTAATAATTCCAAATAATTCCAAATTTATATAAAGTGTTCACTAATTCATTCCATTAAAGAGAAAAATAGTAAGAATTAAAACATTTACTGCCAACTTGTCTGTCAAGCCACCTTTCACACCAGGAATTTCAGACCACCTATGATGACAGTAGAGAAGACACATGCAAATAGAAATTTTACATTAATTTCAAGAAAGCTGCTAAAGTCTCCCCTTGCACATATGCCTATACAGTTAATGAAGAGATCAAGGAAAGATCTATATGACAGCTTCTCTGGATAAAAATTTAGTGGCATATGACAGCTTCTACAGATAAAAAGTTAGTGGCATGCCTCTATCTGTGGAGCTTTGAGAACATAACAGTATCTTTGCTGGAATTTGTAATAAGTCCAACAGAAAATTACTGCTAGGTTATAATTCCTTCTGGCAGAAGGAAGCCTTCCTGAACATTCATGCTCCAGGGCAGCTCAAATCAGAGACCAGTCTCTTAAAAGTCACTCATCTCAGATAAACTCTATGGACTTATCCAGGGACGTGAAAATCTGAAAGCATGGACTGGGAATCTGCTGCCAATCTGAGTGCTTCAGCTGACTCCCACCATCTGTGTGTTAGGCACATAGACCTCACACTGAGCAATGGCTGAAATGTGCTCATGCAGAACCATGGCTGAGTGTTCGGCAAGAAAGAGCTAATTATTCTAAAATAGTATTCAAGAGAGAAAATAAAGAAAAAATATCTAACAATTGCTGGTGGACTGACTGTGAATGGAACTTGTTGCCACACAACAAACACCCATGTGTAGCTCTGTTTCATTTTGGAGGAAGGCACAGTATTTCTATCTTGGTATGAATATCTTTTAAAGGCCGAGTCATTCTATATGGGTTCACTCTACAGCTCCTGGGACTTTAATAATAGCATGCCTTATGAACATCATGCATGGATTGTTTTTGCAGCAATGTACCAAAAAAGAAACAGATTCAGAGACTAAATTTCCTTGGAACAGCATCTCTAACTGCTGTTTTGTTCAATTATGCCATTGCTTGAAAAGGTTACACTGTACAAGATGGCATTTCTTTGCCATAGTAGTCATAGTGAAGCTCCTGTATGTTTGTCACGTCAAAGCTCTTAACAGACCCACATTTTTAATACAGTGTTTATGTAAAATAGGATTCTCTTCAATCAGGTTGGAACAGACAGGCTTGTGCATTGCTATAAGGCATATTCTCTACTCTGAGGTCTTCCTCTCTGTGTACTGCAAGTATCCTTCCCTCTTCTCTCTTGTCCCTAGAGGTATTTTAGGAACTAGAAATCAAAAGCATACTTGTAGTTTATTAGATTAAAAGAGCTGTCAATTAGCTTAGTCATGGGCCTTTGCTGTGAAATGTCTATGTGAAAATGGAAGTTGAGCATACTTCCATCAAAATGTGGCTACTTATTTACTTAATCTTGTAGTTCAATAGGATCTCTACCTATTTTTTTCAGCATGCTGAGGTAACTCTTCATAGGTAAAAAACTTGACTTTGAACTTTTTGTGCAATTTTTTCTTTACTAAGATAGAGCATCTACAGATAAATGAAGCTAGTGAGATAAGATACATGCTCAATATTTATTTTGCTGCATAGATTTTAAAATTCTTTTAAAGTGCTGTCTATACCTTCTTTATTTTTTTCCCTGAAGTCTATTTGCTCTGTACAGACTGCTATCATTCTTACCAGAGCAGCTTCATAATGCCTGACAGCACAGAGAGTTCACAAGTAGGACAAAGTTACATGAACCCTTTTAAGCTGAAATGACAATTACTATTTTATATTTTAAAACACATCATTTATACCATTAAAGGGCATATACTAAGCTGTGCCTTTGTCAAGAGATATTTAAAGAAGCATGTTAGACATTTTGTACCTCCTTAAAGATTTTACAGTGTATCCTGTAATCTTGCTTTCAAGTCTCAATTTGTTGTACATACAAAACCACCTGATGAACATTCCCTTTGCTCTTCTGGGGAAAAAAAAAATCTATTAAATCATTGAAAGTACCCAACAATACCCTTTTCATCTCAGCAACTACAACAGCAGCAATATCAAGCTATGTCCTCTCTTTTTTACATTATGTAAAAATGGTTAAAGTTTTTTTGTTTCATTCTGTTTTCTTCTCAAAAATAGTTTTTACTTGCTTGAATTGTAAATCAAGTGTTAGGCATAATTCTTAACTAATGTAAATCAGAGTAATCCACTGAAGTCAGTGGAGCTCTGCCAGTTTTCAACCAGCTGATTATTTTGGCATCTTGAATCCTGACTTCCTTACTTGTTGAAACAATCTTCACATTACTGTGATGGAGATATTACGTATGTATTAAATCCAAGTTGGAATTCTCCCAGATCTTGCTCTAACTCCCAATTAATGTCCAAAAAAAGCAGTATTTAAAAATATACTTAAGAACTATTTTTGGAAGACTCTTTTGAGACTTTCCCAGACAGTACAAGTAAGACTTGAGAGATACAAGGAGCAAATGAATTTTAAACACAATCAGTCTTACTGATAAAGAACTCACATTTATGTGGCTCTGGTATTTGTGCTGATATGTACTGCCAAACTAACAATCTACCACAACTAATTCAGAGAAAGGATGATCTTGTATTAAAGCTCTAAATAGGCAAATGAAAATCTGAGCTCAGTACCTGGTTGGATCTGGGTTCTCTGCATGGTCCTTACTCTTCTTACTCACTAATTTAGCAAAGGAGTAGATGAGCACTGATATATTAAAGAACTTTTTCTCTGTGCACTTTAAAAAAATCACTCAACTCTCACCTGCCTCTCCATCTCTTACACACAATTATTTTCTGTTCCTTCTACTACTGTTATACTGATAGTTTTTTTTAAGGCTATGGATAAGAGCAGCCTCAATTTAGAACTTTTCATTCACTTGAATCCAATCTTTTTGGAAGTTTTGCTTACCACAGGTATTGCTGTTATCACTGGTAACAAGAAAAAGAGTTTATGAAATTTTCATTGGCATAAACATATTCATATTTTCAGAAACATAGTCATTATTGAAGTAATCACTACATAAATTCCCAAATATCTTATCTTTTTTAACACTATATGGAACATTTATGATTATATAATAATTTATCCACACCATAAAGATGTTTTCAGAAGTTGTTATTAATGCAATGGTTTACAATGGCTCTATTATCTGCCCCAAAACAAGAAGAATGTTGTTAGTCACCAGGTCAATATTGTGATTCCACGTGACTGTAAGAAATCTTTCAGAGAAAAAAAGAAAAGGGAATCCTTCTCTGAGGGGATTCATTTCATAAATGTGATTCCATTAAATTCAATACACGATGAATATAAACACCTTAAAGATAAAAAACGTTCTCTCACTGGATGTCTGTGTCCACCAACTTTTACAGAGACACTAAACAGTCGCATAACAGTTTTCTTGCTTAATTTTGAAGGTGTTTTGTTCTGAATTTCTTTATTTGTATGGAAGTAGATGTTACATTTTGAGTTTTATATTCTCTCTCCCCCAGACTAAAATCACAGAATCACAGAATCTTCTAGGTTGGAAGAGACCTCCAAGATCACCGAGTCCAACCTCTGACCTAACACTAACCAGTCCTCCACTAAGCCATATCACTAAGCTCTACATCTAAACGTCTTTTAAAGACCTTCAGGGATGGTGACTCCACCACTTCCCTGGGCATCCCATCCCAATGCCTAGCAACCCTTTTGGTAAAGAAGTTTTTCGCAATATCCAACCTAAACCTCCCCTGGTGCAACTTTAGCCCATTCCCCCTCATCCTGTCACCAGGCACGTGGGAGGATAGACCAATCCCCACCTCACTACAGTCTCCTTTAAGATACAACACATACATCAAGGGTTCTGGCAGTGTTCCTATGCCTCTCTGTTGTGGCCAGAAGAAAGTATTTCACAGTTCTCCAGAACAGACCATTGAGTAGTGTAATTTTCAACTGCATAAACAGACACGAACATCAAACTTATGTGCAGGTATGTATAACACCGGTGAACCATAAGACATCTTCAACAAGTTTGGAAACACCATAAACCTGCATGGTACAGCAGCTAACTGGAAAATCCTTGGCTTTTGAAGAAGTAATTCACTCCAGCTGAGAAATTAGTGAACATGCTACCTTGAGAGCTATCTTAGTCACCTCACGGTTCTTCGCAGAACCGGAATCAGTGGGACTTATTCTACTGAGTCTAAGGAGAAGTTCAGCAGGCTATAAAATGGTTATAAGCTGTGAAATGTCTTTCTTATGAGTTTTAACCTCATCACTTGGCCAAATCAAAACTGACTTTTTTAAGAATAAGGAAAGACATTTCTTCTTCTGGATATGTGCCTGACCAAAGAATAACATTCCACCACTACATACTCTAGTACTACAGCTGTTCACAGAAAGTCACATCTACTGTTTTATAGCAGAAGCCCTGTGCTCCTTGTTTTTGAATTGATCACTCTGCTTTGGGTTAGGAGGGTAAACAAGCAAAAAAAAAAATAATAAAAAAAATTTTTTTTGAAGCTATCCAAAAGCATGAAGACTACAGGCTTGGTCCAAAGAATTCTGGAAGTAGTCGAAGTAATGAGCCAGAATCAAAGCTGAAAATTCAGTTGAACTGTTAAGCATTTTTAAAGCTTAAGCAACTTTTTAAGCAACTGAAGGCAAGTTCTGTGAATAGAAGTGACAGGCATGCAAGCATGCTGTTTTTAATGTCTTGTAATCTCCATTTTTGCAAGATTGTGGTTCATTTCAGAGGAGATCTGACTAAACATTAATAGGCAGTAAGCAGAAAAGAAATGATGCTGCTCAAAAATGTGAAAGTGAAAACTACCTGCAAACAGAAGGAAAGAGGGAGAGACTGTTTACCCTTGAAGAGAGCTAATTAAAAACAACTAAAACAACTGGTGGTAGTTAAAGACATCATGCAATTTAGGTCAAATAAATGGCTTTGATAGAGAGATATTTTACACTGAAACACCTACCCCCCCCCCCCCCTTTTTTTTTTGCTTCTAATCCTGAAATTACATGCAAATATTGACCTTCTTGTGAATATCCTCAAGGATAACTTATGATTTGCTTCAACTGTGCTATAAATTTTAACTTTGGAAAAGCAACTTACCTACAGTATTCAAAGGTAATGTTTTTTTCAGCATGAATGTTACTATTGTATACTATAACTATAGCCAGTGGCATTGCATGCTACTATGCTTGCCCAGCAGTTATAATTAGAAGATTATTTTAGCAGCTTGTAAATTTTATGAATATTAGCTATACAAAGTAACATTTTCCTTGGGGTAGGGGGGAAATATGAGTGAGAGTGTCAATCTTTTGTTTTTTCATTACTTATTTTACTATGCTTTCTTTGCATGGAAGTGCCAGGCAAAATGGTTAAGACATTATCTCATTGCTTTGCTCAATTAGAAATTCTCTGTAAAACATTTCTCTTTGAAATATTCTATATCTCCTTCACTGTAGACTAAAAACATAAAGTATTCTTTCAAAGATAGATCTTTTATTCCTTCCTGTATATTGAATTTTAGCCCGAAAAACAACTGCATTTCACTGGAGAGATTTTTCAGCTACATCCCCAAGATCCTACATGCAGATGTATTCCAAACCAGACAGTCTCACTCCCATCATGCTTCCTCCACAACTAAAACTCAGACTTACTCTGGTCTCTCCAGTGATCTCCAGATCATACCTGTGGTCTAATCAGTGCAAGAAAGAAGAGATGACAAGTAGATGAGGAACAAAGGATAAACGATTGGGATGATGTAGGAGACAACAGACTGGCAGGCAAAGAATAAGGAGAGAAGAGACTGGAGAGGAAAGGAGAAACAAACTACATGTCTGAGACTGAGAACTAGTAATGGAGGGAAAGATAGGAAGGGTGAAGAAAAATACTTGTCAGCAGAAACTGGAACAGAAACAAAGAATGTATTCAGGAGGAATGAAAGATAGCCCTACCAGCATAGCAGGAATGTGTAATGGAAAGGCCAATGTTGGATCTGACATATGACGCTGAATGAGGGGATGGTGGGATGTACTGGGTTCACATAGCAAGGTTTTGGTCGCAGGGGGGCTGCAGGGGTGGCCTCTGTGAGAAGAGTCCAGCAGCTGCCCCCTGTTAAATCAGGGCCTTGGAACCTCAGTTGGTTCCAAAAGGAATGAATTACTAGTCTGTGTGATGCTCATTGCACCTTTGTGAGAGAGCATATAAGAAACAACAACAAAAAAGAACCTACCATGCAACAGCAGCTGGAAGAAAGGAGTTAGAAAATGTGAGAGAAACATCTCTGCACCAAGGTGAGTGTAGAAGGAACACAGGATGTGCTTCAGGTGCCAGAGCAGCAGTTCCCTTGCAGCCTATGGTGGAGCAGGCTGTCCCCCTGCAGCCCATGGGTCCCACATGGAGCAGATCTCCACGCTGCAGCCCATGGAGGAGCCCCCGGTGGAAGAGGTGGATGTGGCCCGGAGGAGGCTGCAGCCCATGGAGAGCCCCCACAGGAGCAGGCCCTGGGCCGGAGCTGCAGCTCATGGAGAGGAGCCCACGCAGGAGCAGGGGGTCTTGGGGGAGCTGCTGCCCATGGAGAACCTGTGCTGGAGCAGTTTGCTCCTGATGTATGGACCCCATGGTGTGGACCCGTGTCACAGCAGTTCTTAAAGAGCTCCTGCCCGTGAAAGCCCCCACAGGATCAGTTCGGGAAGGACAGCGTCCATGTGAAGCAGGGGCAGGGAGTGACTGTGAAGGAGTGGTGGAGACAAAACTTTAGGGTCTGACCACAGCTCTCCCTGTTCTTTGGAGGAGGGGAAATGAGAGAGCAGCATGGTGAAGCTTAGCTACCTAGCATTGTGAAACCATCACATGGGGAAAAAGAGGCACCACAAGTACGGAGGATAATGGATCACACAGAGAACAGATGAGCAAAAAGGACCCTGAATCCACTTAGCAGAAACTCCTCACCAAAACCTGCAGAGAGAGACATGATTCGCAAGCCTTCTTGTCCTCTGTCAGCAGATATGTGTGAAATCCACCTACAAAAAATTCCATCAGCTGGGCATGCTGGGATAACCTTACAGTTCTTCAGGAAGATTAAGTAATAGACGTTTCTGTGTTGTTGAGACCTTATTGTGGAAACCCACATGTGTATCAATCTAATGCTTTTTTTGCTAGGATTTCAAGATTTTGGTTTCAGTTAGGATTTTGTTTTCTGTTCGTTTGGGGATTTCTAAGATTAAAAACTACATCTAAAGCATCTGTTTTAATACTCTTTTATTTATTTTGCAATATCAAGCACTCAAATGTTAGGAAAGGCCACAAGTAAAATAATCTCTGCAAACTTCATTTATGTTCCTCATGTACATGCAGTGCCACAGCCCTTCCTTCATCAGGATGGGCAGGGATAGGGAAAGGGAAATATATGAACATGTGGTTGCATACTTTGTGATGATGTATAAAAAAAGTTTTTAGGTAGCCTAATCCTGACATTTTCTGAATTGTAACTACATAGTTCTGCCATCTCAGAATGTGTTTTTAGCCTCTATGAATGAAATATGGCACAAAAATGTCTTCTCAATGAAACAAGAATTTATTTCCTACAACAATAAGTTCATTCCTAAAACACACTTTGTATTAAATTAAAATAGCTGAATATAACTAATTTTCATTCTCATCTGTTTCTTGTAGCCAATGGCTGCTTCACAGCTGTGAATATATGCCAAAAAATAGTCTCCCTTGTTGATATAGAGCAGAATGTTTGACTGCTGTGAACGGTTGCTTCCTGGATACTTTATCTGACAAACATATAACATAAAAGCACTCATTTAAGGTGGAAGTGTTGCAATAATGGTAAGCCTTATGTCCAGTGCTGCAAAGCTGATTAAATATTAGCAACAAGAAAGTGTTGCAACACAAAAAGAGATAATTGAATGATGCCTATATTATTCATTTCTCTCTCAGTAAGCACTGTAGAAGAGAAACACTACAGAGTTTAATTTCCCAGAGTCTTTTTACTATGTTACAATTAAATGAACATAATACCTAGATGATGCACACCATTCATTTCACTCTTCCTGTTATTGCACTCTAAGGCATATCTTCCAACTCACCGCAGCAAGCTGGTCCACTCCACTTGCAGTTCGTGCCAAAGTTACGAGGTCTTCTTGCATCTTATCTACCCATGATTTTATCCTAAAGAAACCAAAAAGAAGAGAGAAAGAGAAGTCCAATCAAATCAATGTCAAATACCTATGACAATCTCAAATACACATAAAGGCTGGCAGATTAACTCTCATGTAATAGGTTGACACTGAAGTCCACCTGATACAGCTGTGAATCTGCTTTAGATATGTTCTCTGTTCTCCTTTTCTCCCTCTCTTATGCATGAACTTACTTTTTCAATAGTCATGTGAGGAACTTGCATTTAATTATACATTACAAGAAAAGGGCAAAAAAAAAAAAAAGCAGAATATATATTATTAAATATAAAATATACGTGAGTATTCTTTGATAAAAGTAATCTTCTTGTAATAGACCAAAACAATCTACATCCTAATAGTGTTCTCTTTCACTGACTAAAATCTAAGCCATGTGTTTTTTTCTTCTATTTTTCAGCAGATGGAATATGCCTGGTGCTCTCCAGACACTCTCCCTACCATATCACTACAGCAGACTCCTGCTAACAGTTCTGAGGTCTGTTTCCAAATGCAATAGAGCCTAATTTACCTTTTTTTTTTTTTTCCCCTTTTATTTATTTATTTATTTATTATTTCATCTAACAGAGCTTCTACCAAACCTTGATGACCTGTACAGGATGAATGTTCTCATACAGTTTTCTGGTGTGGCCACCACACTTCATCTGTTGTAAACCAAACATGCCATCATATCTATTACTGGCTGTAGCAAAGACCACTACAACAGAGCTTGTGCACTGCCCACCAGGACAACCTGCCTGGCCTACAGCTCATTCAGAGCAACAGCTTTCTGTATGGGCTTGAGGTCCCTCTGCCAACAGATAGAACAAACAGAGAAAAACAACAACTGGAAGCATGCTGACAAAACAGAATAAATCTGGCCTGCAGCCCTTTTCTGGACACTCCAAGGAAGAAGAAGTAGGACAGGCAGCCACAGGCATAGGTGGCATGAGTTGTTCTGGCAAGAGGCACCTGCACCTGGCTGCTGTTGATGTGCACACTTGGCTCCCTAAGCCCAGTAAACATGACTCTTTGGAAAAGTATTGGATCCAATACAGTTTTTATGTTTACATGCAATGTCACATTTTGTAGCAGGAAACGAGTCATGGCACAAGTGTACTCCTGTGAGATCTATGCTTATTCCAGTAACAGAAGAAAGTGGTGTAGCTTGCCTAGCCAGAAAATTTGTTCTCCATCTCATCTATCATATCACGCCTGTCATTATTACTGCTCTCAGCTCTGAAACCTGGAACAGATATTTGTATTTATCCTAGCCATTTCCTAGTCTTAATGTGATACATTGGGAATGGCTGCTTAAAAGATTATACATGTAATTAGGAAAGAAAGCAATAAGAGAGACTCCATTTTTGCTGCAACGTCGAAAATTTGGAAGAGTAAGAAGGAATATGGAGGATTGGTTTTAGTCCTTCTTTCCACCATTATTAATACATTTTGTGTTAAACAATCAATATCTTGAAAGGTCACAGACTGTATCATGGAGTCGTGACTTGGGACTTTTATTAAATGATCCTTCATCATGCTTTAGAAGAAAGAGATTAGTCATCCAAATGCAAAAGAAGATTCATGTCTGACTTCTATCATGAAGGACCTTCTGGCAGCTCAAAATTATCTGTGTGCAGGTAGGAATGGGAACCACCTAACAGAAAGGTACTGAGTTTAGTAAAAATGGCAGATATAAGATGTTAGATTGTTCTGGTTTCAGTTAGGACGGAGTTAATTTTCTTCCTACTATCTGGTAGAATGCTATGTTTTGGCTTAGGATGAGAAGAGTGCTGATAACACCCCAATGTTTTAATTGTTGCAGAGCAGTGCTTAAACCAAGCCAAGGACGTCTCAGCTTCTTGCTCTGTCCTACCAACGGGCAGGCTGGGGGTGCAGCAGGAGCTGGGAGGGGACAGACCCAGAACAGCTGACCCAAACTGACTAAAGGGATATTCCATACCATCTGACGTCATGCTAACAATATATAGGGGTGGCTAGCCAGGGGAGGGGAGCCAGACTGCTCGGGGTTAAGCTGGGCATCGGTCAGCGGGTGGTGAGAAATTGCATTGTGCATCACTTGTTTGTATACATTATTATTAGTAGTACTATTATCATAATTATTGTTATTATTATTATTGTTATTATTATTTTCCTGTCTTAATAAACTGTCTTTATCTCAACTCACAGGCTTCACTTTCCCATTTCTCTCCCCCATCCCAGAGAGGGAGGGTGAGCAAACGGCTGTGTAGTGTTTAGCTGCCGGCAGGGTTAAACCACAACATAGATATAAAACAAATCCTTCTTCTCAGTCAATATTGGGTGGCTCCCCAATCAATACACAGTCTTTTGTGAATCCTATTTTGAGACACCACAAGCAAAATACTCTAACAAAGTAAACAAGAACTTTTTGAAAGTTTAGTTCAACGTGTCTTCAAGGTCTTTACAAAAAATCTATATCAGAAACTGAACTCTGGTTTCATGCAACCTAGGAGAGAGCCTTATAATTATGACTCAGCATTCCTTACAAAAAATGCTTAAGCAACTGGCAAGTTGTAACCATGGATTCTCATTAACCATGGTTTCTGCCTTTGATACTGCTG